AGATTAAATCCAGGACCTCTGAACTGAAGTTACATACTCAGCCCTATTATTTTTTATTTTGAGACAGGAACTTGCTAATTCACTGAATCATGCAGGCTAGGTTTGTTTTGTTTTGTTTTTTGTTTTTCTGCGGTACTGGGAACCGAACTCACAACCTTGCGCTTGCCAGGCAGGCGCTTTTTGCCACTGAGCTAAATCCCCAGCCCCTATTTTTTTTTGTTTTGTTTTGTTTTGTTTTTTGTTTTTCTCCGGTACCGGGAACCGAACTCACAACCTTGCGCTTGCCAGGCAGGCGCTGCAGGCTAGGTTTGAATTGGTGATCCCTCCTGCCTCAGCTTCCTAGAGTGCTGAGATTACAGGCATGTATTACCATGCCTTGCTGAAAAGTGCTTTCTAAATCATAATCACATCTGTCATTTTCTGAACTCTAGAATTATTTCCCTAAATGAAAATTCTCAGCGTGGTTTATAAGGAGTATTTATTATTGCATGTTGTATACAAAGAAATATATTCCACCTTCTTTAATCTCACAACTTTCTTTGCTTTGCTTTCTTTTCTTTCTTTCTTTTTTTTTTTTTTTTTTTTTTTGCAGTGCTAGGGATTGAACCTAGGGCCTTGCACATTGCTAGGCAAGTGATCTACTACTAAGTTACATCCCCAGCTCTATGCATGTTTTTTAACTGCGTAACATTTTAATTTCTCAGCTGGGTCCCAGCTGCTTGGGAGGCTGAGGCAGGAGGATCACTTGAGCTGAAGAGTTGAAGGCTGGCCTGTGCAACAAAGTGAGACCACATCTAAGACAAAACTAAAAATTTTTAATTTCTTACTGTGGGTTTTTAAAGCTCCTCTCATGGATAATTTTTTTCACCCTCATTAGCACTCCTTTTTTTGTAGTATTAAATCAAATAAGTTTACTGGTGATTTTGATCAGTGAGTGCATCAACTATTTTCTGTGCCTATGTTACTGAATTTTTTTTCTTTTTTTTGTATTTTTGAGACAGGGTCTCACTACACAGTTTAGGCTGGTCACTTTGTAGCCCAGGCTGGCCTCGAATTTGCAGTGATCCTCCTGTCTCAGCCTCCCGAGTGCTGGGATTACAGGCATGCACCTCCATGCCACTGCTTGTTGAAATAATGACATTTTCACTCTTATCTCAGAGTTTTGTTGTCATGGTGGAGGGTAGTACTGGGGGTCCGAACTCAGGGCCTTCACACTGAGCTAATCTCCAGTCCTTTATTTTTTTATTGTGAGACAAAGTTTTGTTAAATCACTAAATTGCCCAGGCTAGGCTGGGAATCTTTGATCTTCCTGCCGAAGCCTTAGTGCTGGGATTATAGGTATCTACCGTCATTTCTGGCCCTTGTCAGAATTATATCATAGTTGGATGTAGTTTGGTTTCATTTGTTATGCTGTGGTACATAGTCCCAGCTGGTATTGAACTTGCTGTGCATCACAGGCTGACCTCAGATTTGAGATCCTTCTGCCTTAGCCATCCAAAGGCTGAGATTACAGGGTATATACCCAGGGTTTTGTTGTTGTTTTGTTTTTCAGTAGTAAGGTTTGAACTCAGGGGTACTCTGCAACTGAGGTACATCCCTAATACTTTTTATTTTTCATTTTGTTTTTTTGTTCGTTTGTTTTGGTTTTGTTCTTTGAGATAGGGTCTCACTTTGTAGTTCAGGCTGGCCTTTAACTCCAAAAATCCTTTTACCACAGCTTCCCTAGTGCTGGGATTATAGACATGTGCCATCTATACTTGGTAGTTTTTTTCCTTTAACCCTCAAGGCATAACCTGGGTCCAGTAGACCCATCTCTTACTTTTCTACTGTAAATTTGTACTTTAGCATTTTATTACCCAGCTGTGTGTCTTCAGCACCTTTTCTTGATGGATACAGGAAGCAATCTATGTGGGTGTTTACCCACTTGGTATAATGAAAAGTGTGCATATATGTAAGTGTCAAAACAGGATTTGGACCCACCTGTATGCTCCAGTTAACTGGTTTTGTGTATGTTTACCTGAGCATCACGGAGGGTTCAGTAGACCCACACCACTCCAGGATTTGTTGAAGTTTTCTTTTGATTTTTCTGGTAGAAGTAGCCTAATTCAGTACAGTGGCACAAGATTTGCAAGTTTTGGAGAAGGTCAAAAGTGAATCATCAGGTAGTAATGGATGCATGGATGATGAAGATGATCCATTATGGTGAAATACATGCTTTCATAACAGAAGGGTAGTGTGAGTGTATGATGATGACGGTGATGATGATGACGGCAATGATAACAACTTTGACATTGGCCATGTGAGTCAGAGTTCCTGTGACGGTGAAGTGGAGCAAGAATCAGCTGATACGGGCACAGGGAACGCAGACCACCTTGATTCAGATATCAAAGAAAACAACAACATAAATACACATTTGACATGTTGAAATGGCCGCACAACCAAATGGTACTATCCAATGTTAAAACTAGGTCCGAAAATATCTGGCAGGGGTGAAACGTATTGGACAGAATGCCAACATTGCCACTTATTGTTAGAAATTTTAACAGATGAGATGCTACAAGATGCTATGAAATAACACAAAGGCTAAAATGCAAGTAAGAGTTCTAAGACAGGGTCTTGCTATGTAGTGCAGGCTGGCTTTAAACTTGCTTGTGTAGCCCAGGCTGGCGTTAATGCACAGCAGTCCTTCTGCCTCAGCCTCCCGAGTGCTGAGATTAAGGCATGCACCACTATGCCCAGCAGGTAAAACGTTCTGTACTCACTAAAAGCTATATTCAAAACTGTACTTATTATGACACCTCACTAGATGAACTGAAAGCATTCATTGGTCTGCTGTACTTAGCAGATTTCTCAAAGTCAGACTTATGGAAAAGCAGTGAATCAAAATATGGGATAAAAATTTATGCCCTTATAGGGCATATTAGAAAGACTTATTATTCTTTCAATTTAGACATTATCCTGGAACTCAGCCACCAGGTCCTTATTTGTATGGTAATAATTCAGATGGTGTTGTAAACAGACATGTTGCTTCTATTGCCCAAATTAATTGGAGTGTGACATTTGACTATTGGTTTACCCATTTCCAGTTGATCTTACATTTGCTAACAGCACAAGTTGACCAGTGCAGGGACTGTGCAGAGGAACAAAGCAGAAATTCCAAATGGAATGTTGCAATTTGAAAACAGAATTGTATAGTACAATCTTTGAATTTCAGAAGGATAAAACATTGGGCTTGTATATGGCAAAGAAAAGCCAACTAGTACTCCTGATGTCAACATTTCACCATGATGGAAATATTGATAGGGAAATCTTAACAAAATGGGAGCTGAGATGGAAACTTTCAACAACAAAACCAAATGTGGAGTAGGTGTTGATGTGTTACGCAGCAGCTGTGATGTCATTTGAAACACAAAACATTAGCCGGTGGTTGTATTTTACTCATCCTAAACATGAGTAGCATAAATAGTTTGATAGTTTACAAAGAAAATAACAAGTACAAAATATCATGGAGAAATTTTCTTAGAAGATTGGGACTGGAGTTCATGAGACATCATTTATAGCAGAGGAAAAACAAAATATTTCTGCCCAGGGAACTGTGCAAAAAAATTGTGCAGTACACTGGTGACCTAAGAGGTGAACAGGCAGGCACAGCATTAGAAAGACCCACTATGACAACAGGAAAACAAAAGAAGATGTCAGCTGTGCCTTACAAAAAAGTATAGGAAAATAAACAGCTGGTGTGAAAATGTTAATGTCATTGGGCATGTGATACAAGCCTGTAATCCCAGCACTTGGGAAGCTGAGGCAGGAGTATCAATGAGTTTGAGGTCAACCTAGACTACATAGTGAACTCAAGGCCAGTCTGAACTACACAGGGAGACCCTGTCTCAAAAACAGAAAAGAAAGTGCTGATGTCTATTCTGATATTACATCATTACATACTTGATATTATATTTTATTGATTATATCTTATTTCTCTGCTCAGTGTATGTTGTACAATATAGTAGGAAGCTCCTGATAAAACAGAAAGAGACGGTGACAAGACTGCTATATATATAGGAAAGGAGAGCTAAGTACACATGCTGTCAGTGTAAGCAAGACATGGGCATGGGACATGCAGTTGTCATGTGTGAAGACTGCCTTGGGTGTGCCAGTTGAAGCAAAGCTTATTTTTGTGGTAGAGTTGTATTGGTATTTTCATTGTAGTTCAATGAAAATGTTGATGTCTGTTCTAAATGCACAATATGTAATTAAGAATTTAATTTATGTGATATTTTATGTTCCTGTTATACACACTGTATAATATAATATAATATAATATAATATAATATAATATAATATAAGAAGAACCTCCTGACAAAACAGCAAGACCACTGAGATGTCAAGTATGTCCTACAAAAAGGCCAGGAAAGCAAAAGACATGTGCTGTCAGTGTAAGCAATGCATGTGTATGGAGTGTGCTACTGTCATGTGTGCAGACTGCCTTAGGCGTGATAATGGAAGTAACTTTTTTTTTGTAGAGTGCTATTGGTATTTTCATATGGGAATTTATTTCTGATGTTCTTTTTTAGACTTTGTATACCAAAAACCAGTTGATGTTGAAAATTTTGATGCTTTTTTATACACTCAATAAATATTAAAAACTCAGTACTTTATTTTTGTGGGTTTTTTTTCCTGCTATGTACGCATTGTTCAGTATAATAAAACTCATTAAGTTATAATTAATAATTCATCAATAGAAGTATTGTAAAGAGTTAACAGGAGTCTGACAGACCTATGTTTATGCACCTTGATGACAAAATTAGTCTTACTCTCCAAGGGCTAGGCTTATCTTCTGGGCCTTTATCTCAGCTAAAAATTAGGCTTATAACCCATATTGAAAACATAATAAATACATGACTTTCGGGGAGAGGAAAACGCATAATGTAAGAGTATTTTTATTTATCTAAATCACGGTTTCCAAGTGACCAGTTACCCACATTTCTTTCTTTTTTTTTAAGAGTCTTTAGCAATGGAGCTCAGTGATGCAAATTTGCAAACACTAACAGAATATTTGAAAAAAACTCTTGATCCTGATCCTGCCATCAGACGTCCAGGTAAAGGAAGTACATGGTTTTTTTTGGTTGATTCATTCTTTAAGCACTGATGAGAAAATCTCTGCATTCTGCCTGGTTGTAAATTCAAAAGAAGATTTACACTTGGATTCTCAGGCATAGCTTATAGTGTGTGGTAGGCTGCTTATAACTGCTATAACATGATGTGTTCTTTGTTTTATAATAAAACAACTTTTATTTGTTATCTTCTGCCACAAAAAAAATACAGTTTAGGTTTAAAAATCATCATTCTGTTTAGAATGTTTCTCCTTTGACCTTTCTGAAAAACTTCAGTTAAAACTTGCTATGCCACAAAAAAGAAAGCACAACCTCCCTCTTTTAGAGTTAAATATTTAAAGGCAGAGAGATGAGAGTAATTGCCTAAAAAATGATAAAATGAGTGAAACCAAATAATCTGACACTGGTCTCTTTATCTTCCTGTTAGTATTGATATAATTAGTATCTTTGAGACTAGAATTTCTTTCTCCCCTCCTGAGTTTGATTAGTTTCCTTTGAAGCTTTTAGTGTAAGCTTAGAATTGCAACCACAAATGTGAAGATAAATGAAGGTGACAGGTCAGATGAGCACTGGGAATAGCATGTGACAGCGACAGATACTATTGGAACCAGCTAACTTTAGTAATCCAGACCTGTTTGGCAAGGTTAGATTTCAAACTTTGCTTGAAAAGTAGGGACATTTGCCCGGGTAGTGGTACACGCCTGTAATCCCAGCACTCAAGAGGCTGAGGCAGGGGGATCAAGACCAACCTGGGCTACAGAGTGAGTCCATGCCAACCTGAACTACATAGCGAGACCCTGTCTCAAAAAAAAAAAAGAGTATTTGTATGGAGCCTCACTTTTAAATGATAGCAACTTTTTCCTGTTAATGCTTAAACAACTAATGTGTTCCTGGAAAGGGGGAAGTAATTAATGGCTCTAATCGTCTTAGAATTTCTCAGAAACCCTTTGTGAACATGATGTATTAAAAATTACTTGCAAGCCAGGAGTGGTGGCGCACACCTGTAATCCCAACACTCAGGAGGTGAGGCAGGAGGATTGTTGCAAGTTTGAGACCATCCGGGGCTACAAAGTGAGCTCAAGGCCAGGCTGAACTGCATAGCGAGACCCTGTCTCAAAAAGACAACAAAACAACAGCAACAAAATATTTGCAGAGGCTGCAATTAATATGTGTGGTTCATATAAACGAAGAGGAAAGATTTCGATTATAATAAGTCTTCTAACATGAAAATTCTTTTACAGCTGAAAAATTTCTTGAATCTGTAGAAGGAAATCAGAATTATCCACTATTACTTTTAACATTACTAGAGAAGTCCCAGGATAATGTCATCAAAGTGTGTGCTTCAGTAACATTCAAGAACTATATCAAAAGAAACTGGAGAATTGTAAGTATTTGGTGAATATGTTGTACCCTGTACATTTATAAGATTTATATAAACAGTGCTCTCAAAAGATGCAGGTATAGATGAAGGATAAAATTAAACAGGGTCCTTTTTCAAAGCTTTTATTTCATCTGAGTTCATACAAATTCTTTCACTTTCATGGCTGGTTACTAGAGAGTGCATGATTTGGCTTTATTCTGCATTACAGTTAAAATTTAACTCTAAGTTACTTCTTAGGTGTTTTGGGGGAGACAGTCTAAATGAATAATTGAAATAATTTCTGTTGTGGACTGGAAAATTAAAGCTAAAAAATAGCATATTAAAAATGTAAGCCTGGCGTAGTGGTGCATGCCTGTGATCCCAGTTAGTCGACAGGATCAGGTAGGATGATTGCAAGTTTATACCTGGTCTGAGCAACACATGAGATCCCACCTCAAAACAATAAATTGTAGAGTGCAAAACAATTTTGAGGGTTTTTTTGGTTTGTTTTTGCCATACTGGGGATTAAACTCAGGGACTTCACACTGAGCTGTATCCCACCCTTTTTTTTTTTTTATTTTGAGACAGGGTCTCAGTTGGACAGGATGGACTTGAACTTGGGGTCTGCCTTTGCTTCCCAGTATGCTAGGATCACAGGCATGCACCACCATGCTTGGCTGAATGCAAAATAATGTAGATTTAAAATTTATTGTTTTATCCAGGTATGGTGGTGAACGCCTGCAATCCCCGCACTTGGGAAGCTGAGGCAGGTGGATCACCATGAGTTTGAGGCTGGCCTAGACTGTGTAGTGAATTCAAGGCCACCCTGAACTACATAGACCCTGTTCCCAAAAAAAGAATCTTTTCATGATCCTGTAAGAGTTTACAAAGCTATAAGTACTGTTTTTTAAAGCTTTACCACATGTGATGAAGTGATTTGGCAGATGTTAGAAAAGCTGCTTTAAAAGTCCATCCCTCTGCTTCCCTCTTAGATTGCTTAAACCTTCATCTCTTCTATTAACTTTCTATCTTAATTTATAAAACTAGAGAGACTTATAGAACCTCTTTGGGTGATACAGTCCAGAATATATTCTAGTTAGTAAAGATGAAAAACCTTTCATAGGAAAAATCTTTGCTTTTAGGTGACAGTTAAAATGAAGTTTTTGAAGATGATTATGGATTAAGTAGCATATCTGTAATGATTTTTTTTTTTTTTTTTTGTCTCTTTTGAGACGGGTTTTACTATGTGGTTCAGGCTGGCCCTAAACTCACTTTGTAGCCCAGGCTGGCCTCCAACTCGAAACACTCCTCCTGCCTCAGCTTCCTGAGTGGTGGGATTCCAGGCATGCACCACCACACCAGGCTATAATGATTTTTAACCATGTGTTCTGATTCGCTTACATATAGAACTGAATTTTTCTTTTTTGTGTGCAGTGCTGGTGATCGGACCTAAGCAAGTATTGTGGCACTGAGGTACACACTCAGTCCAGAACTAAAGTTCTTACTGGCACTTGGGACTTAAAGAACCTCGTTCATTTATATGTAAATTATTTATATATAGGAAGGAATGTATATTACTTTGGGGAACAGGTTCATGCTTCCATCAGATGATTAATGAAATCAATGACCCATTCATGTAGAGAGAAATTGAAATGTCCATCTCCTGTTTTTTCTTACAAAACTGGGAAATTGAAAATTGTGCATACCCACATGGGTATGAATATGGATTTGATGTTACTGTTATTTTGCCTTTAGGTTGAAGATGAACCAAACAAAATTTGTGAAGCTGATCGAGTTGCCATTAAAGCCAATATAGTGCATTTGATGCTTAGTAGCCCAGAGCAAATTCAGAAGCAGGTAATGTATCCCTGCTTTCTAGGGAGGCTCCTTTGTAAGTCTCTTACCTAATGAAGTTTTTCTTTCTCTAGTTGAGTGATGCTATTAGCATTATTGGCAGAGAAGATTTCCCTCAGAAATGGCCTGACTTACTGACAGAAATGGTGAATCGCTTTCAGAGTGGGGATTTCCATGTTATTAATGGAGTCCTTCGGACAGCACATTCATTATTTAAAAGGTACTGATATACAAATTCATTCCTTTAATGTATTCTTCTTCTGTTGTATTTGCTTATGTGAATAGTTACATTTGTGACTATTGTTACTCCTTTGTGATCAGTCTAAACTAACAGCATAAGCTTCTCAGTTTATGTAAGAATTGTAAGAATTCTTTGTGTATGTTTCTTAAGCAGGGTGTTTATCTCATTGCCCTATTGCCTATTAAGTTTTGATTCATTTATAAAGAAAACCAGGAATTCCCTTTGAATTTCAGAAATCTACTGATCAGAGACATGTACTCATAGATGTTAAATTAGCATCTATCCTTGAAAATAGTAATAAAACTTCTGAACTTGCTTACTTTACATAAATTTTCTAGATACCGTCATGAATTTAAGTCAAATGAGTTATGGACTGAAATTAAACTTGTCCTGGATGCCTTTGCTTTGCCTTTGACGAATCTATTTAAGGTATGCAATAATATCTGGGTGATACTTTAAAACTACTTAGTATTTTTAATTGCTTAAATAAACTTTGAAACCTAAACAGAAATGGACAAGATGGTGTAAGGAACTGTGTTGTACAAGTTTAATAATTACCAACATTTTATTCTTTTAATCTGCTCCCCTACTTCTGTAGGGCTTTAAAAGTAACTCATAGGCATCATGTTACTTTATACACATTACGTGTTTCTGAAGAAAGTCACTTTTTATTTTTTTAAGAAATTTAACATTTTGATTTGACTATGAAATTTAATTTACATCATTTTATACTGAAAGGCTACTTTTCTAGACATGTTCTTGGTCTTTGCTAGAATTCTGTAAGAGTGAAAGAAAACCCTTTTTTTCCAAGTAAGGGAAAAGGGGTTCAGGATCACACAGCTAAAAAGAAGAGTTTGAGCCAGACATGATGCTATACACCTGTACTTCCAACTTCTCAGGCAGTGAGGCAAGGTGATCACAATTTCAAGGCCAACCTGGGCAACTTAATGAGACATTGTCTTACAATAGAAAGAGCTGGGGCCGGGTGTGGTGTTGCATGCCTGTAATCCCAGCACTTGGGAGGCTGAGGCAGGAGAATCATTGTGAGTTCGTGACCAGCCTGGGCTACAAAGTGAGCTCAAGGCCAGTCTGAACTGCATAGCGAGACCCTGTCTCAAAAAGACCAAAAAAAAAAAAAAAAAAGAGCTGGGGGTGTAATTCATTGGTAGAGTGTTCCTGAGTTCAATCCCATGATACTTAGCAATAAAGAGTGGGTACAAAGTTTTTCATGTATTATTGATAGTATATATGTACATATGTATATATGTATTTATTTATGGTATCAGTAATTGATTGAACCCAGGGTCTTTGCACTGAACTACATCCCTGTACCTTTTACTTTTTTATTTCAAGATTTTTTCACTATATTGCTAAAGTTGCCCAGGCTGGGCTTGCAATTGCGATTTTCCTGCCTTAGTCTCTCAGAATGCTGAGACTATAGGCAGGCGCTACCATATCCAGCTTACATTTTTCTTTTAAAAAATAAAATTAGACAGAATTCATTTTTACACTGACTGGATTGGCAGAAATCTTTTTTTTTTTGGTTTTTCTCCGGTACCGGGAACCGAACTCACAACCTTGCGCTTGCCAGGCAGGCGCTTTTGCCGCTGAGCTAAATCCCCAGCCCCAGAAATCTTTTTTTTAAAGGATAAGAGTCTTAGCCAGAGTACTTTAAATACTCTGATCCTGTCCACTGGATTACAAATAGTACTACTGTTGTATACTGTAATGTTTAATTGATAAAACCTTTTTTATATAGTCCAACTCTTTAATATATGGTACGTAACATTTGTTTTACATGGTTGTGCACAAAGTACTAGCATTTTTGGTGTATATTTTGTCATTTAACTCTCGTACTCTCCATTATAAGGTAGGCATTCTCATTTTATGATAAGGAGATTGGAGTTTAGTAAAATTTACTTATTTATTTGATGTAGTGTTCCACAGGAATAACAGCTTATGAGGAACAGAATCAGGATTATGTCGAGTGTTTCTTGTTTCTAAAACCATGCTGGGCATGGTGGTGCTGAGGCAGGAGGATTGCCGTGAGTTCGAGCCCAGCCTGGGCTACATTGTAAGGCCAGCCTGAATTATAGAGCAAGACCCTGTCTCAAAAAGAAAAAAAAATCTTCCAAAACCTAAGCTCATAGCATATTGTACTACTTTGATATAATACATTTCTAGAATGTCAAAAATTACAGGTTTGTACAAAGTTTTATAGATAAACTTGTTCCTCTTTTAGAATAATGAACAGAAACAACCTACATGTCACATAACAGGAATTATTTATTTATTTAGACTTTTTGAGACAGGATCTCGCTGTGCAGTTCAGGCTGGCCTTGAGCTTACTTTGCAGCCCAGGCTGGTCTCGAACTCGCCAGTGATCCTCCTGCCTCAGCCTCCCTCCGGAGTGCTGGGACTACAGGCATGCACCACCACGCCTGGCCTCTTTGAAAATTTTTTTTGAGACAGGGTCTTGCTATGTAGTTCTGGCTGGCCTTAAGCTCACTTCATAGCCCAGGCTGGTCTCGAACTCACAACGATCCTCCTGCTTCAGCCTCCCTCCTGAGTGCTGGGATTACAGGCGGGTGCCACCACTCCTGGCTAGTAGGAATTACTTGATGAGAGCATATAAAAACAGTTCTGTGTAATACATATGTGTATAAGTAGTTGGACAAATGTAGTTCAGAATACTAACATTGGATTTTCCAATAGTGCTCTTAATGGACAAATTAAAAATATATCCTTTAACTTATTTTTCAGACTCTTAAATAACTATATAGTACTATTTGGAAGCCACATTTTGAAGAAATATGGTAGCCTCAACTAGCGCAAGACTTTTTCATTAAGATCAGTATACTGAGTTTATGACACACTAAAACCTTCTTCCTAAATTCTTTTCCAAGGCCACCATTGAACTGTGTAGTACCCATGCAAATGATGCTTCTGCCCTGAGGATTCTTTTTTCTTCCTTGATTCTGATCTCAAAATTGTTCTATAGTTTAAACTTTCAGGTAAGTTTTATTTAATTTCTTGGTTTTTGTACTTATTTTTTGATGCTAATTTATTGTCTACTTGCATAAATACTACTTTGACAGCATTGTCTTGCTGTAAAAATAAGAAAGCTTTTCTGATTCTCCTTATTTTATCTTTTTAAACAAGATGGGTGCTTCAGTGTTGTCCACATTGTCCCTGAACTCCTGCCCTGAAGCAGTCCTTCTCCTGTAGCCTGTTTGGGGCTCTCGGAAGGCACCGCCGTGCCCAGCTCCCCTTGTTCTTTATGTACCTTATTCACAGTGTTCTGTTGTATAGTATTTCTAGAGATTCTAAGAGGTGTCTCATGGGAATAAGTAGCGTTCTCTTGTGTGTACTGAGGAAAACATCCTAACTTACCCTTTTGGAGAGTCATCTGGTGTACAGTTTTATTCAATAAAATTGAAAGTGAAAGCACAGAGAAAACAGATTTCTGAGATCTTTCTCAGTGGTCCATTTACATGGATATTAATATTGGGGGGACTAGATTTGATTAGGGGTTCTTGGTTAGCTTGTATACAGGTGCTTTTATTGGACGGTACGAGAAAGAGGCTGAAGTACTAAACTTTGAAGGAGGTAAATGCGAGTGACGTTTCACAGGAGGAATGGCCACAGGGTTACAGAAGGAACTGCCTGGTCACCCTGTTGATACTACTGATACAGTAGCCTCCAGTCATTCAGTCTATCTATCTATCTTTCTGTTTTTGTTTTTTTGAGTCAGGGTCTTGTGTGCAGTTTAGGATGGCCTTGAACTCACTATGTAGCCCAAACTGGCCTTGAATTTCTAGCAGTCTTCCTACCTCAGCCTCTCAAGTGCTGAGATTACAGGTGTGCACTACCACTCTTGACATTCTTCCTGTTCTTCAATCATTTATTTAAGATGTAGACCTCCAGGACCATGAAAAGAGCAGGTTATATACCAAGATAGAAGAAGGATTTGGCCAGGCAGAGTAGTGCTAGCCTGTGATCCCAGCTGTTAGGGAGGCTGAGGCAGGAAGATTGAAAGTTTGAGGGTAGCCCGGGCAACTTAGTGAAATCCGGCCTTAAAATTTTAAAGAGGCTGAAGATAGCTACATGTGGTCATGCATGCCTGTAATCCCAGTACAGTTGGGAGACCGAGGAAGAAAGAGGGTAAGTTTGAGCCTAGTCTGGGTAACTTAGCAAGACTATCAAAATTTTTAAAAACTAAAAAGTCTGGGGATGTAGCTCAGTGCAGAGGCCCTGAGTTGGAACCCGCGTACTACAAAGAAGGGGAGGGGACTGGCTGGAGGTGTAGATCAGTGGTTGAGTGTTTGTTTAGCATGTGTGAAGCCCTAGGTTCAATTCCCACACTGAAAATAGAAGGATTGGCATTTTCATTGTTCATAGTCAGTACTAGACTTACCCTCAAACGTGACTGCTCTGACAGTAGTAGAGAGAACATTCCCCAAAAAGGAATTGGATTCTCTTAGGTAAAAGAAAAGGTGAGCAGCCCAAATGATCCTGCCTTACACAGATACTCAGCCTCCCAAGTGCTGGACAGCAGGTTGAGGAATTTATATGTAAATGAAGACGACTGTTTTTGCTTACACTTCATTTTGAATTCTACTTCTGAGAAAGCAGGAAAATTGAAAGCTCTTGATAATTTGACAAGGAACCAAAGGCATAATCTTCACTGTTAATCAAAAAGAAGGATTTTTCCCATACGTCCAAGAAAGCAGTACTGTACTATACCATAGGAAATTGACAGCTGTAAGACAGTAAGTTTGACTCTGTCTTGTTGGTACAGAATATCTGATACCAACAGTTTAAAGATGGAGAGTCCACAATTCTTGCACCTCACATAACTGAAAAACTAGCACCACATGGATGATGCCGAGGTCTGCTGCCCACTCAGGTAGTAGCCTGGCCCCCTTGGATCATATCTTACAGAGGCCTCTAGGGTTGAGCACCAAGAAACAAGGGGTGACTCTTCTGGGGCAGGGAGCCCAAGGAATGTCTTCTCAGTGAAAACTTCCCAGTTTTACACTCTTGAGCCCCTAACGGTGAGTGGGGTCTTGCTGATTTTTTGAGATGCCCTCAAAGGCATCTTTCTTCTTATCCCTATACAGAGTGCTTGGCTTCTTTTTAATGCTAATATCTTCAACAGCCATGCTGTCTTTTGCTCCCTTTTGGAGATACTACTTTCTTGAAAACTGAGAACTTAAGGTCATTTAGCTGTGCTATTTGCTCCTGGTATTCGCTGTAGGATTGGCTAAAACCAAGCAGCGATACCCATGCCACAGCCTGAAAATCTGTCTTTTAATTTCCTCTGCTAGGTTGTCTACCACCCTTAATCTCAGTCTCCTGCAAAGTCTCAGGACATAAGCGGAAGTGTAGACAAATTTTCTGCCAGAGTGTAGCACACATAGCCTCTAGTCCAACTGCCAGTGTAGTTAGTCCTTATTCCCAACTGAAACCTCCTAAGCCTGGCATTTACTGTCTGCCTTTGTAGCAGCATTCTAGTCTGAGCTCTGACCGGTATTACATACATCAAGATCCATCAAGATCCGTTAGCAGCAATCTAGGGTTTCTCTAGTGGGCAGCCACAAACCAATTGCGAAGACTTCTGAATTACACAGATACAACAACCCCACCCACTGTACCAAATTTCTGTATTTATTGGGAAGACAGGTTTGTTCTGGTTCACTTTTCAGTGGGTTCAGGTCAGTGTCCACAGGCTCCAAGACAAAATACATGGCAGACTTGCATGGTGGAAGAGAGCTCTTCACAGCTCAGGAAGCTGGAGATGAGAATACGCCTTTCCAAGTCATGCCCCTACCACACCTCTTCTAACTGGGCTGCTCTTTAGAAGATGAGGGGCTGGGAATATAGCTCAGCAGATCTGTGCCTGCCTGGCAAGCATGAGGTCCCAGGTTCATTTCCCGGTACCAAAAAAAAAAAAAAAAAAAGATGATGAGACTTTTAGAGGACATTATAGACATAAACCGTAAGAGTCTGAAGTGATGGTCATCTTACAATAATTTTGAAAGGAAAGTGGATGTAACAGTAAGCACTGAACTTTGTAAGGAAAAACTTTGTGCTATCTTAGCTGGACTTTAAAGAATAACTATTTCCATTGGGACAGGAAATACTGCAGAAGGAACATTCTTTGTGGTAAAAACGTGGAGACAAGTCAGACTGTTTTATTCAGCTACCACAAATAGTAGGTGGAGCAGGAAGTCTTAATCACAATAGGTAATGCTTCAGATTTTAAGAAGATGGGAGTTGAACCTATAGGCATGTGCAAAATGTTGGCATGCATGGGATGGGTGTGGTGCTACACATCTGTAATTCAAGCACTGCAGAGGCTGAGGCAAGAAGATCGCCTCAAGTGCAAGGCTAGTCTGGACTAAACAGACCTTATCTCCAAACACTCCCAGAAAATAAATAAGTAAAGACATAGTGTGGAAATGTATTAAAGTAACGCATTTATTTATTTTAATCATGGCCTCAAGTTAGTAACTTTTTTTTAGGATCTCCCTGAATTTTTTGAAGATAATATGGAAACTTGGATGAACAATTTTCATACCCTCTTGACACTGGATAATAAGCTGCTACAAACTGATGTAAGTATTTTACATGGAGTAACCTTTTTCTTTGAATAAGAATTTTTTGGTGTCCTATGAAAACCTGTAAAAAAAAGTTGTGAGCATATCCTATGTAAAAATGTATAGGTAAGGGTATTTCATTGCATTACTAAAAGCAAGGCTTTAATCACATTGTGAATATTTTAGGAAATAAAGTAATTGCTTGTCATTAAAGATATTTAAGAAAATCTTAAACTTCTGTAATGATAGCCCCTCTTTAAAAAAAATTACAGCTTGGGAAAATATGTAAAATTTTAAAATATGTAAAGGTTTCTGATTAGGGATTTATAATATTTACTTTTTAACATACAGCCCTTACCCTGTGCTGTGTATTTGCTTTTTATTCATATATTGAATATCTTTCCTAAGAAACTATAAAATATTAAGAATACTTCAACACCAGAAAATTACTAGAAATGGTAATTGAAATTGGGTTTTTAAGGTGGGATATAGAAGCCAGGCATGGTGGTGCAGGCCTGTATCCCCGCACTCAGGAGTCTGAGACAGGAGGATTGCCATGAGTTCGAGGCCAACCTGAAATGCATAGTGAGACCCTGTCTCAAAAAACAAAAAGAAGAAAAAAGATAAAAAGTGGGATATAGAAAGCAAATAGTTACCATGGTTGTGAAATACACTTTTTCTCAGAGTTTCACTAAGTCAAAAGATTTGGCTACCATAAGATTATTTTAGTCCAATAGGAGAAATGGCTCACTCTTGAAGCTTTTCTTCATGCATAAGTGTAAAGGAAATTACTCCTATAAGATTTTTAAGCCGGGCGTGATGGCGCACGCCTGTAATCCCAGCACTCAGAAGGCTGAGGCAGTAGGATCGTTGGGAGTTCGAGGCCAGCCTGGGCTACAAAGTGAGCACAAGGCCAGCCTGAACTGCATAGCAAGACCTTGTCTCAGAAGAGACCAAAAAAAAAAAAAAAAGATTTTTTTAGGGCTGAGGATTTAGTTTAGCAGCACAACGCCTGCCTGGAAAGCGTGAGGTCGTGAATTCGATTCCCGGTACTGGGGGAAAAAAACAAGATTTCTAACAAGGAGCTCTTTGCCTAGTTAAGTACATGTTATCTTGTGTTGTCTCACTGTGTAACATCCCTATACTAAATTGGAAGACTTTGGTATCACTGTCATGGTATAGATTGGGGTTGGCAATTTTTTTCTGTAACAATCCAGATAGTATATATTTTTTCAGCTTTGTAGGATTGTATGATATATGTGCTATAACTGTTCAATTGTTGTAATGTGAAATCAGCTGTAGACAGTACCATAAATTGTATGAATAAGTAACAAATGAACATGTCTTTGTTTAATAAAAGTTTACTTACAAAAATAAGAGCAGGTAGGAATTGGCCTGCAGACCATAGTTTGCTGACTCCTGGGTTAGATTATTAATGTACATATATGTATAGATAGAAAGAAAGGTAGGTCAGTAGGTAGGTATTACATATATGGATGAGAGGAGCGGTGCTGGGGATCAAACCCAGAGCCCTTTTTGCATGCTAAGCAAATGCTGCGAGCCACATCCCTAGTCCTGTTTCATACTTTATATCCAGAGTATTGTTTATGAGAATCCTATGATACTCGCTTTTTTTAGGGGTGGGACACCTACATGTTAATATACTTGAAATGATGACCTGCCTGGCAATCCAAACATGACACAGAAAGTATGATTTTTTTTTTTTTTGTATAGATTTCTGTAGAAATATTTTCAATTCAATATGGAAACATTTTATAATTAGCAACCAGAAGGAAAAATTTCATTCAACTTGGAAACTTGAGAGCTGCTCTCCATGATTAATAAGAGGAAATCACTCGTTGTTAAAATGCTTGAATAGACTGACGGTGACATAAATGTAGTTTATAATAGTAGATTATTTGGGTTTAAATTTTAAAGGGTCTCGTTCAGGAATTACAACCACTTCCCTTATTTATAATAGCCTTGAAATTGTATGTTTGAATTTTCTTTTTTCTTCTGTGAGGATGAAGAGGAAGCAGGCTTATTGGAGCTCTTAAAATCCCAGATTTGTGATAATGCTGCACTCTATGCTCAAAAGTATGATGAGGAATTTCAGCGGTACCTGCCTCGCTTTGTCACGGCAATCTGGAATTTATTAGTTACAACAGGTCAAGAGGTTAAATATGATTTGGTAAGATGATGGTAAAGAAAAATAAAAGCAGCTCCCTGTCTCTCCTGAGAAATGCATGCTGATTTTGCTCTTTAAAACATTCCTATTTTATGTTTTCTTTCAGTTGGTAAGTAACGCAATTCAGTTTCTGGCTTCAGTTTGTGAGAGACCTCACTATAAGAATCTGTTTGAGGACCAGAACACGCTGACAAGTATCTGTGAAAAGGTTATTGTGCCCAACATGGAATTTAGAGGTAATTAGGCAAAGTGAAGGCTTTTCTGGGGAGTAAAAGCTCAGGTTTTTAAAAAATATATTAATGTAAATTTAGTAAATCATTTGGTTTTTACAACATAATCAATCTAAGTTTTTAAATTACCCCCCCCCCAAAAAAAAACTTGGAGGTATTTTGTGTTTACTAAACTAGTACAGAAAATGTGGCAGCACACTTTGTATTGCTGTGATGAGCTTTGTTATATACTTAGGGTATTTTTGTTTTGTTTTGTTTTTTCATAAAAATACTGGATCAGACTTTATATATCCTTCTGCATTGGGGGAAAATACAGCATCTTACTCAGTTTAGGCAAATAGCTGTTTTTAAATGATTTGAAAGACAGAAGTGATTGGTAAGTGTTACGTCCGAGTTGAGGCCCACTGAGGGTGTAAGGTTACATAGCCCTGAGAGCCTGTGCTTGTTTGCTTCTCTCTTGATATTGTGAAGAGAAAGTAGTGAAGGCGGAGGAGATTGTGTTTCGTATCACAGCAGTTACTCTGTCAGTGGTTCTCAAACTATTAATCTGGCATAAAATGAGTAAATTAAGGATAATACAGTGGAAGGTTTTATGTCCTTTTGTGTTTTCTTAAAATTAAAGACACATCTTTATTTTGCTGTTGTCTTCCCCGGTTTTTTTTCCTGAAATGACTTGTCAGGTAATTATTACAGTTGATATCCTTATTTGACCAGATGGAAAGTTATCATTCCTGGATTAATGCCTAATACTCGGTTTTTGAAAGTTAGACATAAAGGTCTATTCTGGGGACACTCACATGTCACAGCTCTGTGAATTATTTAAACCAAACCTTTTCGGGTGACGCTTACTGCTCTAGCAGAGACTTAAGAGTATAGGAAGTCATTTGATGGGAAAGAGTGCTTTACTGTGTGTAATAAGCGTTCTGCATGCTCTTCTGCATACTCAGTTGTAGCAGCAGTGACTTGTCATGTCTTGGAGGTTATCTTCAAATGTGTGCTGTCTTTGTAGCTGCTGATGAAGAGGCATTTGAAGATAATTCTGAGGAGTATATAAGAAGAGATTTAGAAGGATCAGGTATGTATTTTGGTTTTTAGCTATTATTAGCAAGCCAGTTTCGGCTTTCATTGAACTACTTTCAGTCTTTAGCATCTTTTACATCTTCCAAGGGCTCTTATGACCTGCGTAAAAGAATCATGAACTGAATCATTTCTTTTCTGTCTTGTATTCTCAGTAATGTTTAGAATTTTCTGACCTCTTCAGCTTCATTCTCATTGTGTATTGGGGGGAAAGAAATGCTCTTTTCATTGTTTGTGTTACTGACAGCTATCAGATGGCAATTTTTTTTTCCTTATAAACTGGATTAGTTGGTTGATGGTTCTTTTCCCCAAGATATATTTTCTTTTGATTTTATAGATATTGATACAAGACGCAGGGCTGCTTGTGATCTTGTGCGAGGATTGTGCAAGTTTTTTGAGGGACCTGTGACAGGAATCTTCTCTGGTTATGTTAACTCTATGCTCCAAGAATATGCAAAAAATCCATCTGTCAACTGGAAACACAAAGATGCAGCCATTTACCTAGTGACATCTTTGGCATCAAAGGCCCAAACACAGAAGGTAAATCCTCTCAATACTTTGTTTCTAAAACAGAGAAATCAGAAACCACAGAATAAAAAAATTAATGATCTCTGAAAATTGGTCTGTTCCACCGTGTAACTTTGTGGTTATCATTGGAATTTAAGAGTTTCCAAAGTCAGTTTTGTGTTGCTGTATTAAGCACTTGAGTTAGTCTTGGTTTGTTTGGGTTTTTTTGGTTTTTTGTTTTTTTTGTTTTTTTCTTTTTTTTGACTGGGATTTAGGGCATGGGATGGGAAGTGTCTCCTCGGGGCATTCCACACTCCCACCCCCCAGGGAATGTCCATTCTAATCTTCCTGGGATGTTCTTTGAAGCTTTTTTTCTTTTTCTTGGCACTGCCCTTGCTGGCAGCAGCCTCCCAGGCCCACTGCTGACTGGCTCTTCCTTGGAATAGTCTTCTCTTGTATGTAAATAGGGTATGTTTTGGAGTGTTCAGCTCCTTTTCTTGTTCCCAGAGCCTTGTGTATGCTAGACAGATGCTGTCCTGCTAAGCTATATTCCTGGCTGATCATCTCCATTTTTATGTCATACAACTGCTTGCCTTTCTGATGTGGTTGTACATACAAGTATTTTGTGTCATTCTCCCCTGTTACAAACTTATTTTTCAGCATGGAATTACACAAGCTAATGAACTTGTAAACCTGACTGAGTTCTTTGTGAATCACATTCTTCCTGATTTAAAATCACCTAATGGTAAGTTTTGTGGAATTTTTCTTCTATACAACTTACAACAGTGTACCAGCAGTTATTATGTCATTATATTATGAAGTGAGTGGTATGGAAAAGATCTCTGTAGAGTCACGGTACTTAAAAAACTGGTTCCTGTCCGTGTTTAAGTTAGTGTGTGTTGAACCTAGAGTCCTGCCGCGTCACTAAGTTACCCAGGCTGGGTTTGAACTGGTGAGTCTCCTGCGTCAGCTTCCCACAGCACTTGTTTCTTATATTGAACAAAATGCCAAACAGTGCCCCAGCCTTTGCCCATGTAAAGTTAACTTTTGATGAAAAATATATGACTTGGTTAGAAGGATGATAGAATAAATGAGGCTTAACTGTAACTTGGCTTTGGTACCCTTGATTATGAGCAAGAATTATACTTTGGTTTCCTTTCCCATTTGAAAGATAAATCCTTAAAAACTAAAATACTCTGAGCACAGTGGCACATTCTAGTGGTTCTTGCTGTTTCAGAAGCTGAGATAGGAGGAAGACAAATTAGAAGCCAGGCTGGGCAATTTAGCAAAACCCTGTCTCAAAATGAATAAAAAGGACTGGAAATGTAGCTCAGTGCTCTGGGTTCAATCCCTAGCACTACACCAAAAAAAAAAAAAAAAAAAAGGATAGTTTCCTATGTATATAAGAATATGTTGATCTAGGTTGAGATAATGCCCTTTTTCAAAAGTTCTCCATGTAGAAAATTTACCCACACACACAGATTAACAGACTGTTGTAATGAGCTTCTGCATGACCGTCATCTAGCTTCAAGAATTAATAGTTGGCTCTTCTGTCGATTCATTGATTGATTGTTGGTTTTGGAGACTGAACCGAGGCCCCCCACATGCTCAGCAAGCCCTCTACTGCTGAGCTAAATCCCCAGCCCTGTTTTATGTCTTTCACTAATTTATTTTCCTACCACTAGACTAATTTAAGGTAAATCCCAGCTAGAGAAAATTATCTTAGATCAGAATAGCTTTAATTCTGAGACTATATTGTCACATGGATGAAATTTTTATTGTTCAGTTATGTATTTATCATGAAACTTCAAGGCAGGGGAAAAGGAAAAATTATTTATAACATTACCCAAATTAGTAACTGCATAGTAGATCATTATTTAATTAACTATGCTTTACTTACTTAACATTTTGGTTACCATCTTTGAAACTTACAGTGTTGGTACTGATTTTTGAGAAGTAGTCCTTACCACTTAAGTAACTATGACTTTTTATTTTTTTAATAGTGAATGAATTTCCTGTCCTTAAAGCTGATGGTATCAAATATATTATGATTTTTAGGAATCAAGTAAGTAGATATTTGCCATATGCCACTTAAGAATTTTATTATGAGTCAGGTTCTCCTCTAATGTGCTTTGTGATCATATTTGACATTCACATCTGACAGAATTAATATGTCTTCAGTGACATTTTAGAGAATGCTTAATTTTCATTAAATATCTTTTTATAATTTCATTAAAAATCAGGTCCCAAACAATGTCCGTACATTGCTTTTGGCTAATTATATCTTAAGTCTCTTAGTTTACAACAGAAATCCCTCCGCCCTCTTTCCGTGCCTGTATTCGGGGGCAAGAGTCCTTCGTGCTGGAGTTTCTCACATTCTGCTTGCTGCTGATTACATTCTCACGGTAGTTTATCTTGTTCCTCTAGTCCCTGTCTTCCTATACTGGTGGTTTGATTAGAGTTGGATTTGGGGTGGGGGTTGAATGCATCTTAAGTATACTTTTTCAGGACATACACATTTACTACTTCATTAAGATGAAGAATTTTCTATCATAAACAATTTTTAATAGCATTTTAAAAATTGACATGCAAAAAAATTGAGATATGCTTTCCATTATATAAAAGTCATCATTTTAAAGTGTATACTCAGTGGTTTTAGTGTACATTTATTTTGTTGTATACCTCCAGTGTCTCATACATAGATAATTATCAAAACATAGGAAACACGGGGTAAGTGTAGGTTGTCTCCCCTTTATCATGAGTAGTGCCTTCGCAGACTCAAAAGCTGTCAGGTGAGGGTTTTTGATGCTCTGGTTGTTCATTTTGGCCAGTTGGTCCCCTTTATGTAGTTTTCTGTGTCTTTTGTCTCTTACCAATTAGGTACTTAAGAGTCAATGAGTATCATCCTTAACATAACCTGAAATTTTTCTAAAGTATGATTCTTACGATTGGTGAAATCTTAGTCTGCTTCTCCATGATAAATATTCTGTGCTGTGCACACTTGTCTACAAGATTTCGCCCTCATAGTTTTGTGCTCAGAAAGAAAGAATTGGAAAAGTGAATGGGAATTGAACCATGATGTGTAGGTAGATGTTTTGATTTCTTAACAGTATCATTTCCCATCATAACAGCAGGGGGAAAGTTCTTAATCAGCAAACCCTACTCTTCCAGTTGTCTTTTACTCAATTGTAGCATCACCAGATTCACGGCATGTATGTTGTTGTGTTTTTCAGGTACCAAAAGAACATCTTTTGGTGTCTATCCCTCTCTTGATTAATCATCTGCAAGCTGAAAGTATCGTTGTTCATACTTACGCAGCACATGCTCTTGAACGGTTGTTTACTATGAGAGGGCCTAACAATGCCACTCTGTAAGTATCTGATTCTAGGTTATGTATTTTCAGTTTAAGATGGGGACTGTACTCTTCTAGTCAAAGGTACCTCTGTTTTCCTAATTTCATTAGTAGTTAGAACTGATTTGTACTTTTTATGTATTTATACTTCCATTCAGAAGGATTTGAGGCAGCTTACCAGAATACCTTCTGACAGTCAAGTTAAATAAATTGGAGCAAAGGAAAATAACAGTAGTAAAGTTAATCAACAGAAATGTATTCAGAGGATCCTGTGTAGTAGATGCTTCTAATTTTATTTGGAGTCTCCTAGAAGCTGAGGTAAATGGGGAGTTAAAATATTCACGATGTCCACAAGCTTAATTAAGGTTGAAACAGTTACACTGCATCTCAGAAGTGATTCTTTGTGACGAGAATGCTGCGCAGTAGCAGTGTTCTCAGTAGCATCCTGGGACAGTTCCTTTCGCGTGCCTTTGTACTCTCACTGAGTTCTGAGATGCAACGTGGCCCTGGGAAGGGTTCTCTAGGGCCCAGGAAAGTAACTGCTCTGCCTGAGGGCGGAATGTAGGGGAGTGCGTAGTCTTGTGTCTTTCAAGCCGTTCTTCACAGTTATCTCTTCACATTGAGCTCTGGGTAAATAGTTCTAGGTTTTTTTCCTTCACCAAAAACTTGAAGTCCACATGATCTTAGCCGTTGAGAGGACATCCTCTGGAGTGAGTCAGGCCAGGACTTGTCTTCAAGTCCAGAGCTGATAGAGAAAACAGCTTACTGCATCTCCAGGAAGAACAGATGGCTGAGACCCCTAAATGTCAGAGCGCTGTTCTCGGAGGCGCTACCTGTGACCCGAGGGCGGCCTTTGCAGTTTTAGATGATGTTGGCTTTACCTGGTTTTTGATTTGTTCGATTGCATTTGGTCCCAAGTGTGTATAAATAGCAGCTTAACATGAGCACATTTAAGCGGTTATTTTTCAAAGCCATCTGCCAACTAGATGGCTCGTTTTATGCCGAGAAGTGTGATTTAGTAGTTGCCAAGGGTGTTCCACAGTGACAATCTCAAGAGTTGGCAGTGACTGAAAGCTGTTTTTTCATCTATAGTTTTACAGCTGCAGAAATCGCACCGTTTGTTGAGATTCTGCTAACAAACCTTTTCAAAGCTCTCACACTTCCTGGCTCTTCAGAAAATGAATATATTATGAAAGGTAGGCCGTTTCCCTGGTGTACAGATCATGACTAAGCATCCAACCTCACATGGGTAAACACTCCTGAACCGTAATACTGTTTGCTAAGAAATAGATATGTTTAGATATTTTAAAGTGAAAAGTAATGGTATACTAATAACTGCTTCAGAAACATTTTACCTTAGTTTGATCTAGAACCCCTCATTACAGTTAATACGGCAAACTCCATTTTTCCTTTCCCAGAATGAATTTCTGAGGGCATAGATCAGATTGTGCAGTAGCCTCTGTTGACTGCATGCTCTGCTAGGGCTTAGTAAAGATGTGTGCACGTAGTGGACTCCACGGAGGACCTATGTCATTGTGTCCTGGGGTGCCAGCTCTGACTTCAGGGACAGTCACAATCTCAGTCTTTTCACTGTGGCATCTCAAAAGCTTAACAGAGTATCTGGATCATAGGGAACACTTTGCAAAGAAAACTAGCCCGAACTTTCCAGCTTGATCAGACTCTGGGTTGGTGTGTGTGTGTGTGTGTGTGTGTGTGTGTGTGTGAGAGAGAGAGAGAGAGAGAGAGAGATCAGGATCTGGGTGTGTGTCTGTGTCTGTGTGTCTAGGTGTATATTTGCGTGGGCTTCCAGCACCGGGAGGACAGTAACTGGTTTGTGAGCTTCATCACTGTTCCTAGGGTTTCCCAGTGCGCAGGGAATGTAACACCTTCTCGGTGAATCCTGTTGTGTGAGTGAATGCAGGGCCCTGTGCTGGCCCGGAGGAGGGGCGTCCCCGGACCCTCCTAACCAAGGTCGGGGAGAGCCTTCCTCTAGAAAGTGATGTCCAAGCAGAGGCATGAGGAGGGAGAGGTGTCAGTGTGCTGAGAAGTGAGTTTAGCTTAGGTAGAGGAAACACCTTGTGTGCGTTTAGGAGGTGAGAGGACAGCTCCCTGCCCCTTAGGACTGGCGTACAGTAGGTCCTTTGATTAGTAAACAGTGCCCCTGGAAATGATACTTGTGGAAAGAGAACAGTCATACATTTAGCTTACGAGGGTATTTCTTAACCATGCCAAATGTTTTTGGGTATCTGTTATGAGCAATATTTTGCAAAATGGGCCCTGTATCTTTGTGTGTATTTTCGTATTTTGTCTTAGGTTCCTAATCTCCTTGAAGGATATCTACAGCTAGTTTTCTCTTTCAGTTTCTTGTAGTTTGATGCCATGTTTCTTTAAGCCTAGAACTAACCTGTTTTACCAGTGATTTCTAAACAAATGACCCAAGCTAGTTGCTCTCTCAGTCTGCTACTCCGCCCATGTCAGTCCATTATTCTCTCCTCTTTGCTGCTTTCATCCTTAGCTATTTTTATTGTACCCTTTTGATCTTTTAAGTCTTGGGCCTTCTAAAAGTATTCAAAATTTCCCATCTATATTTTATTGTCAATTCCTGTCCTAATTTTAAAAGAAAGGAAATTCTTAAATGAGAGAACTGTCTGGAGTTAAGCATCTTAATATTTTATCTGATGGATTAGTGAGCGCACCCTCCCATTACAGTTTTATTCCAAAGTTTAACTAAAATATTTGTTTTTTGTTGTTTTTATATTTTACAGCTATCATGAGAAGTTTCTCCCTCCTACAAGAAGCCATAATCCCCTATATCCCTACTCTCATCACCCAGCTTACGCAGAAGCTGTTAGCTGTTAGTAAGGTAACAGAGCCAGCTGTGAAAATGAGGCTGTTTTTTACTTGCTTCTCAGGGGGCCTCGGGCTCCTTGGCCTGGGCGAGGTGTTGGCGGGGGCCTGTGTGTTCCGACCACCGCTGGGTGCTCTTCTGAAAGGCGTGGGGTACTGACAGTGTGGGCACAGCAGCCGCCACCTTAAGTCTGGGCTCAGAAACGTAAATGCAGTTTTGTTCTCATATCAAAAGTAACATGTTTAAGAAAATCAGATAATCTAAAAATTGTTTTTTAGCTGTTAAGAATGGGCTTTGCATTAAGCAGACATAAAAGAGGCTGTTTAGATTTCTGTAAAATGACAAGAGTTCTTGTATCTTTTTTCTTACTGTTTTTTTAAAAAATGAAGTTCATTCCTTATCTAAACATTGTACAGATATTTTGATTCATAAGTACTAGTACTAAATTTTAAAAATGAAAAACAACAGCACGCAGGAGGCTGAGGCAGGAGGGTCATCATAAATTTGAAGCCAGCCTGGGCTACATAGTGAGTTTAAGGCCAGCCTGCGCTATATTGTGAGACCTTCTTTCAAAAAAGAAAGCAAAAATGAGTCTAAGGTTCACAAAATATATAGATGCTTAATCCTAATTATGCTGTGCATATGAAATAAGTTTGCAGGACACAGTATTAGAGGGAATTGGGAATAGAGTAATTATATTTCATCTGACTTCTGGGTAAGGTCTTTGAACTACTCCAGGCCTTGCTGGTGCAGGGACAAGGGAAACAGAACCCTGTGCCTCCCCGCAATGTACATGCACTCCTACCTGCTGATTTAACACATTCCCACCAGCTTAACCCACCCATGCATGACTGTCTCATTGGGCAACTTATGCCACTAGTGTTACCAACAGATCTAATCCCTTTTATCAGAACTGTCTAGCAGTGAGAAATGAATCTTACAGCCTTGTCATGAATATGGTAAATCAGTTTTATGTACTGTCATTCCAAGAAAGATTTTATTTGAAGAAAAACAAGGTTTCATGGTTTAAAAAGAAAATTAAGCCCGGCATAATGGCATACTCCTGTAATCCCAGCACTTGGGAGGCTGAGGCAGGAGGATTACTGCAAGTTCTAGGCTACATAGTGAGTTCAAGGCCAGTCTGAACTATATACTGAGACCCTGTCGCACAAAAGAAACAAAAAAAGTTGTTCAAATACGGCTGAGGGTGTAGCTCAGTGGTAGAGCACTTAGCTAGCATATGCAAGTTTCTGGGTTCATTCCCTAGCACGGAAAAATCTGTGTTGGATGTTATGCCTTAGCAGTAAAAAAATTGACTAATACACTTCTCAGAAATTTTTTAAAAATTTTAAACAAGAACCAGGTTAGTGTGGTATTGTTGTGGTTTTTTTTTGTTTTGTTTTGTTTTTTTGTCTTTTTGAGATAGAGTCTTGCTTTGCAGTTCAGGCTGGCCTTGAGCTCACTTTGTAGCCCAGGCTGGTCTCGAACTCAAACCGATCCTCCTGCCTCAGCCTCCTGAGTGCTGGGATTACAGGCATGCATCACACGCCCTGCTAGTATTGGTGTTATTAATGCTATTTTTTTAAAGAAAAGATGGTATCTATTTTAAATGTTTTAGAAAAGATAGTGTTTATTTTTTATGCTATTTAATAGTCACTTGAATTACAAAAATAATTTTTTTCCCTAATTTCAGAACCCAAGCAAACCTCACTTCAATCACTACATGTTTGAAGCAATATGCTTATCCATAAGAATAACTTGCAAAGCTAACCCTGCTGCTGTTGTAAATTTTGAGGAGGCTTTGTTTCTGGTGTTTACTGAAATTTTACAAAATGATGTACAAGGTAAGTTTATAGGAAGTTATTTTCTTTGTAATGGAATAAAACTGTTAAGATGGCTATAAAATACAGCCTTGCTAAGAGATATGGGTCTTTTGTGCTACAGCCATTCATTCTGAAGCTGGTAACTGTTTTTACTTTTATCAACAGAATTTATTCCATATGTCTTTCAAGTGATGTCTTTGCTTCTGGAAACACACAAAAATGATATCCCATCTTCTTATATGGCCTTATTTCCTCACCTGCTTCAGCCAGTGCTTTGGGAAAGAACAGGAAATATTCCTGCTTTAGTGAGGCTTCTTCAAGCATTTTTAGAACGTGGTTCAAACACAATAGCAAGTGCTGCAGCCGACAAAATTGTGAGTCAGACTTACTTTTTTTTTTTTTTTTGAGACAGGGTCTCGCTATGCAGTTCAGGCTGGCCTTGAGCTCACTTTGTAGCCCAGGCTGGTCTCAAACTCACAATGATCCTCCTGCCTCAGCCTTCCAAGTGCTGTGATTATAGGCATGCGCCATCACGCCCAGTGGTCAGACTTACTTTTAAGTAAATAAAATTCTCTAAGATAGGTTGGAGAAACTAGGAATAGCAGGTTTTATTTAACATTGTTTTTATTTAAAATAAAGTGAGAAGTAATTAGTAGAAAATGGTAATGAATGTTTTACTAGAATTAAGTATCATTTAGTTATTATTCACTTAAATCCATGGTGGGAAGCAAAAGCCACATAAGTTCTTTTCAGGAATAGCTTGTTGTGGTAGGAGCCTTCCCCACACACTTCAGAAAAGTTTGAGAGCAGGCTAATCATTTATTCAATGTTGAATCCTTTTTTAGAATACACATCACTCGTTTAAGTTTTGAAATTCTAATCCACGTCTCCTTTTTAACTGTATATTATTTGATCTGATTTGTTGTAGCCTGGTTTGCTCGGTGTCTTCCAGAAGCTAATTGCATCCAAAGCAAATGACCACCAAGGTTTTTACCTGCTGAACAGTATAATAGAGCACATGCCACCGTGAGTAGACTGGGAGCTGTGCCTTTAACCAAGGGTTTTGTTGCTCAGAAAAACGCTAAGTTCCTATTGTTGCTTTTATTCAATTCTTTAGTGAATCAGTTGACCAGTACAGAAAGCAAATTTTCCTTCTACTGTTCCAAAGACTTCAGAATTCCAAAACTACAAAGTTTATCAAGAGTAAGTAAATTTTTGGGGTGTTTTAGGGAAATAAAGAAGGAAAGCAAGACTTTATAGTTATAAACATTGCATATAAAATATCTTAAATTGTCGATCGTCTCCAAATGCTAACTTGGTTTTGTGTGCATTGTGTTCCAAAGGTTGGTTTAAGTTTTAACATCAAAACATCTTTTCAGTAGAATTCAAATTAAAAAGAAATACATGTCAAGTTGCATGTAAAGGGCATTTTGTATGTTGAATTGTATCAGAAGGCAAGTATCAGTGCCAGTTGGTTATAGGCTTTTAGCGATACTTATCAGTAGGTTCCATGTGGCAGACTTCTAGTCATTTAACAGTTTAGTGGGGCTGGGGATTTAGCTCAGCGGCAAAAGCGCCTGCCTGGCAAGCGCAAGGTCGTGAGTTCGGTTCCCGGTACTGGAGAAAAACCAAAAAACAAAACAAAACAAATAAAGTATTCTTAGGTGTGGAGTTGATCTTAGGTGTTATCATTGTCCTAATTCTCCATTGGCATTGTCCTTCTAGATAGAGACCAGAACCGCTGCTCTCTTTATCATGAATAACTTTGATCCACTTTTTCTACTTCAGACCATTTGTTAAAACATGAAGTGTAATGAGTTTGTATCATTCAGAGCTGTGAAAAACTTTACTTCTAGGTTGTTTGCAATAGCATAACAACGATTGGCCAAATCATCTTTTAGATTTAACATAAGGGTGTAAGCAAAGAAAGTTGGGAGGTTTATAAATTAGTTACTGCTATGGATAGTGAATGGGTTTTTTGTTTTCCCTTATTTGTTCTGATTTTTCAGAAAATTGAAGCTGGGCGTGGTGGCGCATGCCTGTAATCCCAGCGCTCGGGAGGCTGAGGCAGGAGGATTATTGCAAGTTTGAGACCAGCCTGGGCTACAAAGTGAGCTCAAAGCCAGCCTGAACTGCATAGCAAGCCCCTGTCTCAAAAAGACAAAAAAAAAAAAAAGAGAGAGAGAGAAAATTGAATAATTTTTTTTAAAGTATATGAGATGCCGGGCGTGGTGGCACACACCTGTAATCCCAGCACTTGGGAGGCTGAGGCAAGAGGATCGTCTTGAGTTCAAGTTTGAGACCAGCCTGGGCTACAGAGTGAGCTCAAGGCCAGCCTGGACTGCATAGCAGGACCCTGTCTCAAAAAGACAAAAAAAAAAAAAAGAGAGAGAGAGAAAATTGAATAATTTTTTTTAAAGTATATGAGATGCCGGGCGTGGTGGCACACACCTGTAATCCCAGCACTTGGGAGGCTGAGGCAAGAGGATCGTCTTGAGTTCAAGTTTGAGACCAGCCTGGGCTACAGAGTGAGCTCAAGGCCAGCCTGGACTGCATAGCAGGACCCTGTCTCAAAAAGACAAAAAAAAATAAAAGTGTATGAGATAAAAAGTTGAAATATTTGACTTAGAAGTAGCCTAGGCTTATAATAATATGAGGATACTTATTCACAAAAGATAACGGCTTAGTTGGGCACAGGTATGTGTTTAACAGGGACTTTTTTTTAGTCATCTCTAGTTCTCTTCGGCTGACCATGAACAGCAGCCTATTTAGTAAGTTTTCATAAGGAGTCACAGAGCAAAAAATAATAGTGAAGCATTTCCCTATTTTATTTAGAGTGGTTGTCTAATTTAATGTTAAGTAGATTTCTTTTGCTTTGATGAATAGAATGTTTGGAATGGTTTTGGAAAAAATCATTATTCCTGAAATTCAGAAAGTATCTGGAAATGTAGAGAAAAAGATCTGTGCAGTTGGCATAACAAAGTTACTAACCGAATGTCCACCAATGATGGACACCGAATACACCAAGCTGTGGTAAGTGCTCCTTACTGACGTTCTTGGGAGATTGTAGCTTTCGTCCTGTCTCACTGCAGAATTAAGCTTATTCTCTTAGGAGCCAAGAGAATTGAGTTCTGATCTCTGCTTCTCTGCTAGTAATCATCATATCCAAGATACAACTGTGGATCTTCGTAGGTCTAGAAGAAATGGTGTTCTTAAGGTCAGTGGGATGAGGTAGATGCAGGGACCTCTTTGTGAGTCTGGTCCAGGTGATATTTAAGATAGCTTTATGAGTCTTGAAACTCAGCGCAACTGCCCTTTGTCTTTGAGGAAAAGAGCTGCATAGGTTAGATCTGCATCCGGACTCGATGTCTTGAGGTCTTTGTCCTGGCCTCTCTCGCCTCTCCCTTCCTCCTTTTAGTTCCACCCAGGCAGCTGCTCCACAGAGAGGAAAAACTCTTAGCATTAAAGACCTTGCTTTGGCTTAGAATGCTGTCATTTCTGAAAAACAAATGAGGATGTTGTAGCCAAAGGAACAGAACAGTTTCTGGATAGGTACACACACGGATGACCATCTTAATTTCACATATCCCTTTCTACTCTTGAGACTGTGGGTCTGTAACTTTGTTTCTGAGGAACTTCTGCTTTTGTTTAAATCTGCAAAATATTTTCTTGAGGTTTTTGTCTCTGCTTTCTCCCAATCTAGGACTCCTTTATTACAGTCTCTGATTGGCCTTTTTGAGTTACCTGAAGATGACACCGTTCCAGATGAAGAGCATTTTATTGACATAGAAGATACACCAGGGTATCAGACAGCCTTCTCACAGTTGGCATTTGCTGGCAAAAAAGAGCATGACCCCGTAGGTCAAATGGTAAACAATCCCAAAATTCACCTGGCACAGTCTCTTCACAAATTGTCTACTGCCTGTCCAGGAAGGGTAAGTGTCTGCTGTCTCAGAGCTGTGTGACTGGTGGGGACCTCAGGAGGAAGGGAGGGGATAGTTGTGGTCACCGGGCCTGTTTTCATTGGTCAGCGTTACCATACCACATCCCATTGAGATTAGGTAAAGCATATTTTTAATTTAAATGATGAGAATTTTTTTCCCTAGTGTTATGCACTACACGTATATTTTAGGTAGTTTTAGAAGTAAAAGCAAAGGGACAAAATCCTTTAAATAGAAATGTATTTCTCAATTTCAAATAATCCTGTTATTAAGATTTGGCATTTAATGGCTACATAGTTTTATTTAGCCATCATCTTTTACAGTCTTACAACCTTATAAAGTTTATATTTTTCATTGATTATGAGAATTTCAGACATACATAGAAACAGCATAACAAACCCTTATGTACCTAGTTTCAATAACTACTAATATTTTGCCAATCTTGTTTCTTTTTTTTGTAGAGAAAGTTAGAGCAAGTTTTAGACATTTATATTATTTTGGTTTGGCGGGGAGTGGTTTTTTTTGGTACTGGAAATCGAACTCAGGACCTTGTACTTGCCAGGCAGGCGCTTATGCTGTTGAACTATTTCCCCAGCCCCTAGACATTAATACCATTTCACCCAGAATCATTAGTTTTTGTTTTTTTTTTTTTTTTTGGTTTTTCTCCGGTACCGGGAACCGAACTCACGACCTTGCGCTTGCCAGGCAGGCGCTTTGCCGCTGAGCTA